TCCAGAACGAGTTGCAGGAAAGGATTAGAAGAAAGGTCATTGACTCCAGAGGAAGAATAGTGAGCAAGATCTGTTTTCAGGAACATTGTGCATTAGGAATAAATGGAGAACAAATTGTTAGATTACATTTTCCAGTTCCATATGGTAAAGTCATCATTTCTGCATAAAATCTAAAGAAACTGAAGACATCAAATAGAGGAGTGTTTGGTGCCCTTCCCTCATGGTTGCAGTTTAAACTGAAATTAATCAGAGCTGAAAAATACCTGATCTTTTGTAAGAGAAGCAGGGAAAGATTTTTCTAGCTCCTAACCCAGAAGAATGAAGCAATTTTGCAATACAGGATGTTGATATCCAATTCATATTAAATATTCCATTCTTCTGTTACCTGGGGCATTTTGTGGAAACAAGATATGACTGTATGGATAAAAGGCAAGAGAGGGATTGAAGAGGCAACAAAGTATTTCTGGGAAGGAGAGCCATAGATAAGGGTGATGAGAAGAGCTAGTGCCCTTTATGGATCTTGGACAAAAGATCTGAGTCTACATTCCAACATAATACTATAAACTAGATCAAGTTCTGTTGCTGTGTATTTCTACTTTCTCAGTGTTGCATCTGGGAAAGCTGCAAGAGAGATTCTTGAAGTAGAAAGCTTGCAGAAATTCTAACAGGAATAAATCCAACTTTCCATTTAACTTTGTAACTACGTCAGTCTGTAACAAGGCCTTGCCTTTGCTAGTGAAAGGCAATAAACTGTATAAAGTTTGAAAGGCTTTGGGACAAATCTGTCAGGTCGAGTCTTACCGAGCTTTTCTTGACCCATCTGCAACTTTGTTTTACTGGATTTAACTCCAAAACCATTCTTAATATTTGACCAGGGGAGTTTTTTTTCGTTCTGTTTATCTTTGTATGTTGTCACCTCTAACACAGAGAAGTAACAAGTCATGTGGACATGGCAGAAGCTTTCCTATGATAGCAGAAGCTTTGAGAAGTGAAGCCATAAGATATGTGTGGCATGGGGTGGGGAAGGCATGGAATGGTAAGAGATGGAGTACAAACTTGATGCAGAAGACCCTCCCTATGTTTATAAACATCTCAACAATAGTCAGCTGAAAGAAATGCATACCTGAAGATGGGCAAAACTGATTTTTTCAGGTAACAAAATAAAAAAGAAGAAAACATCTAATACATAAAAGTTACCACATTTAGTAAAAGCAGATGCAACATGCAGCTACAGATCAGTGAAGAACGAAGGTGTAAGAGCATACTGTCAAATGTGTTAGAATTTCCCTAAGTGGATCCTAGACTGAAGCAAAAGAAGAAACTAGCAACACCTTATGCCTCTTGATGAGACATCAGAGGTTGACATCTCATTGTAACATCATCTCCAGCACTATGAAGATACCGACTTTACAACCCACTGGAGCAGTGGAAGGATGAGCATAACATCAAGAAGGGATAAAAACTCAACATATGTATTTCAATTTTAACTACATCATTAATATTATTGATTTTTTCTTAATGAAAACTATTCTTAATATGTATTTTATTTTTTTTCTTTAACAACTATATCTAGATTAATACAATTACTCAATTCAATTTTGAATATACTAATGACAGATTCTATCCTGCATATGCCATGGGTTCTTTTCTGCCTAATGCATTGAATATAAGAGTTTATGAGGAGCTATGTTACCTTTGATCCATAATTCCACCTAGCTCAGGTCCCCTTTCTCTATCTTTGGCCATACATAAGTGGTGGGTGCTCTTAAGGAGGCCCTGCTTAGTGTTAGAAGTAATTACAATATTTGTTTATTAGGATGGATCTTTACCTTACTGCAATCAGTTTAAGAGTTTTCTGGATTTTACTACTGATTTGTGATTGTAAAAGGTGAGACCACACTTCTTATCCTTGGCTGTAGTTAGGTGATAATAGCAATAATGAGGCACTGTGGCCAAGACCCCTAAGACAAACCCACCAATCTTTGATGTGTTCTTCTGGTACATTTAATAGTTCTCTCAGGCACTGCTCTGATGAACTCATCTCTTTGTTTCCACCTCACCCTCCACTATGCTAATATTTCTATTCTCTGTAGTTCCTCTTATTTTCCAGGCACCCTGTCATCTACCAACCCTGTACCATCTCAAATATTTCTAAACACTTAGTCAATTAAAAGCTCAGTCTCTATTTCTGTTGATGCTGAAAGTTGCCATTGCAATTTCTTTTTCTGGACAGGACCTTTACTTTACTGGCAGGTTCCTGACCTATGGGGTTTTCCCTGAGTGCTACCTCACCTTTAGGCTCTGACTGCATAACAGAATTTTTTTGTTTAACACTCAGTCATCTCCCTTTCCTCAAATTTTTGGTGTTTTTTGGTTTTCCTTTGCCTTCCTCCTGATTCTACATAATTTCTCCACCTGGATGTAGCGTTTCCAGAAAGGGTCAGGAATGTGTCTTAGATTATACTAAATTCTTCCTCTTCGGTTCCTTTCTCTCCATCTTCAGACATTCCTTTTTCAGATAATGTCTTTAGAATCACTGATGCACTCCAGGTGATCATAAAATCTTTTGTCAGGCTTCATTTCACAGATGCTATTTTATTCTGACAGCTTTGCCAATGCTTAGACAAACTCCCCCTGTAAACAAGACCTGTCTTGCCATGGAAAGATAAAAAAGCTCCCTAGATATAAAAATGTGTGCTGGGAAAATATCACTTCATATGTTTGACCCTGCAGATTCTCTCAAGCTGGTTAAAACAGGGGCAGGGTTATATTCAGGCAAAATAGTGAGCTTCCTTTCTAAAATGTGAATGCTGGTGCTTTTAAGAATCCCATAGATATACTTGAGAGATTAGCATCAACATCTTTTTAAAAACAATATTTCTTTTCCAGTGAAAGAATTCCTCTTCTTTTGCTCTCTGACACAACAGCAACAAGCTCAAACAAAAACACCGCCCAAACCAAACAACAACAAAAATTAATTGCAGAGTCAAACCCATGTTGTTTGCTGTCCTGGCTATCAGACTATGCTACCAAAAAAGAGTGCTCACCATAAAAGGATTGCACTACTCTGTGAAATCACACTTTATTTCTGAAATATGCACATGGTTTCTTCATGATTTCTCTCCTCAGCAGGATCTTTTTCATCATTTTCTGGGGTAATTTCACAAAAATCTCAGAATTGTCAGTCCCACCTATGAGATGACAGGGGGTCCTTTCCCTTTAAAAGCATACACTCATACCTGTGTCTGCACATGTGCACACATAAAGGTTTGCATGGTTTGGTTTCTATAGCAATAATCAAAAGAGGTATTGTTTGTGCTGAGAGCACTGTATTTTTCTGCTTAGGGAAAGTGAACCTTTCAGATGCTACAGTAATGGCTTGGATGGCTCAAAATGAAATGGGTGTCTTTGAAGCAGGGATGACAGTTCACTGTCCTCAAAATATCAGTATAAAAATAAAAGCATTGCTTAAATGCACTGCCTTTCAAATGACTGGTCAGCCTTTTTATTGGAATAAATAAACTCAAATTACTGTGGATTATGTATTAACAACTGGAAGACAAGTTTTTCATGAGACATCTTAAAATTAAAGAAAAATAAACCCTTCACCTCTGTGGAAAGCTTAGAGGCTTTATGAAGTGGCAAAAGAAGACCAGAGAAAGGAATGCCAACAGGTTATGAGAGCAAGTAGGATTATCTTCTGGGATGTGCTCTTTAAACTGTGATAATTAACTTCTCACTAGCAGGTGTGATATTTGACACCTCTTTTCACAGAAACCTGGCCCTGAGTCACCTGCAGGCGCATGGCACCAATAAATTTCAGCAGGCTCTACAGAACAGCATTGCAAATGGTTGAAAAAGGAGCTATATTATTCAGCTGATAAATTCAACACATTTGGAATGAAAATGGAGTTATTTGCAAATACCTTTTCTTGCTGCCCCTCCCTGCTCTGCAAACTGACATCCCATTATGAAGGATTTAAAAGTCTGTGCCAAAGAAAAAGTATTGACCTTCAAGTTAATGCTATTAAAAATGTAATTTGATTCAAATGAATGGAATTGAAAAGAATCTCTGCATAAAATGCAATACTGTCTTAATTAACAGTACATTAATGTGGTGAAGCAGAAGGTCAGAGGCATTAATGTATTTGCAGGAAAAGAATGACCACAAGTCACAAATCCTTAAAATACCATATGATTTTAAATCTCTTGTGTTATGCAAAAGTCAGACATTTTATATACTCATCTGCTTTAGCAAACAGAAGCAAAATCCATCCACTCCACCTAAGCACAAACCACGGTGTAGTCTAGCCTTTTTGACTTTTACTAATAGCAGTAATTTCTCCTTTCCATTACCCACCTTCATTAGATTTTGATGGCACAATCAGCTCTATACTGAGTGCAATATCAGGATTATCATTGGAAAAAGTTGGAAATAGAATATTCTGTCTATTGTCTTTAATTCTGCTATTGCCATAATAATTTCACTTGAAGTTAAAGCTGTATCTTAGTCAAAATATGTCTTCCTGAATGACTTGGTGACTTGACTATAAGAAGGAGCAAAGTATCTGTTAGACTCCTTTGACTGTCTGTTCCAGTGATTGATTGCTAAGGGTTTAAATTTAAAGCTAAATTTTGAATTTTAAATTTTCTGGCTTTGGATTCTAGCCATTCATGCTTATTATATTTCATGCTTATTATACTATCAGTGTAGTATTATAAGAGTATTTAGGCACTTAAACATATTATTTTACCTTTATGGTGAACCAAAGAAAATCCAGATCTTTTAGATGGCCACTCCAGGGATTTTTGCCTCTTCATGAAACAAGGATGTTTTTAAGATAATAAAAATTTAGGAAAATCATTCATGTTCCCATGGCCTGTGTTGCTGAGCTGCATTTGAAACTTACTGGCTTATTAAATTTATGCTATGTATTAGAACTATGTAATGCAATAGCCACAAGCACCCTTTCCATGCATTTTGATAATCTTTGTATTACCTCAAGACCAGAACCAGTTGAGACCTATAGATCTTGTCGTTCATCTGTGTGTCAGCTATTTCCTAGCTGGTGTCAGGCTTCCAGAATATAAATGAGCAAAGTTTACTGCCCAGATTTCTGTAGAGGAGACACAACAACAACAACAGAGGGTTTGATTCTATAAAATTTGTTTTCTTTCAATTTTCTAACTTTGAAAACAAGCAAATAATAACTTCTTATTATTAATTTCTGAATTGCTCAACTCTGAACAGCACAAAATCTGTCATGCTGCAGCTTGTGAAAAATCCCCTTGAAAGCAAGCATGCCAGAATGGTACACAATATTCTATTAAATTTGTATCTAAGTCAAGTCACTTCTTTTCACCTGCTTATTTTTTTTGCACTAGCCTGATTTTGTTATAGAAGCACACTGAGCAGTTGTGTTGAGTTATTTGTCCATGAAGACATTTAAAATCTATACAGACTCATTGGTGTAGAATACATTTCTTTCTCTTAGGACAGGTTGCATCGGCATTTTGCTGTATTAACAGTTTTCTCCCTCCAAGCTCCCAGATTACTAAGTGAAGGAGGAACTGCCACCTGTTGGGTCACAAGATGTATAAAACTGTTCTTGGAAATCACTCCTTCTTCTTGCAAGGATTCATCCTGACTCATCCTCTGCTTTAAATTCTGTGAGTCAACCAAGCTGATTAAGGGACTGGGGCGTTTGTCCGATGAGGAAAGGCTGAGACCTCTTCAACCTCAAGAAGAGATGACTGAGGGGGACCTCAGCAATGTCTATGAATATCTGAATGGGTTGGAGACAGGCTCTTCTTACTGGTACCCAGCAACAGAACAAGAGAAAATCTACAGAAACTGGTGCACAGGAATTTCCACCTGAACTTCAGGAAGAACTTTAATCTGCAGGTGACCATGAACTGGAATAGGCTTCTCAAAGAGGTTGTGGAGTCTCCCTCACTGCAGATATTCAAGAACTATCTCCATGAAATCCTGTGCAATGTGCTCTACAATGACCCTGCTTGAGCAAGGTGGCTGGACCAGATGATCCAGTGTGGTTTCTTCCAAACTTCTCCATTCTGTGGTTCTGTGAAACTGGGATTTCAGTTTGTGTGCCACCACACAAGACTGAACCAAGAAGGTAATCTAAAGAAATGTTTAATTACATGCTTTGCCCTTTCAAAAACAAAAGGGAAGCTAACAGCAGAAACAAGAATTCAAAGTACTGACAATTTTGTTTGTATTCTGCTCTGGCAGCAGCTGCAATTCTGTGCTTTTTCATCCTGAGAGCTTGTGACCAAGCTACAATTGAATTCTAGGTTGTTAGTAAAATGTCTATTCATAAATACACACCTTCAGTATTGTTAAATTGCCAATAGGTGGTTTAGATTTCTACTTGGAACTTTATGGGTATTATAGAAATAGTACACTCATAGAGGAAAAAAGCACTATTGATGCATAGTAGAGCTGTAATGATTCTAGTGAAATAAAAAAGTGTCTGAGAGCCACGGCTCATAAAGGGACTAAAAAGCAGAATCACTAAAAGTTACAGAAAAAACAGAAGCACTGTGATACCTCTGGAGGTATGTTTCTGTAGAATTGAGAATGTGGAGCAGAATCTTCTTTAGACTCTATAAACCTACTATGCACAAACTTTTCACTCTTCACTGCTGCATAAAATAGGGGTATATTTTACTCTGCAAACAGTCTGTGATGACCAGAGTCCTCAGTTAATACCTCTTGTCAGTATGCAAAATGACAGTCAAAGGTAAGTTTCTATGGGGCAGAGGGGAGGAGAGGGCAGGAGTCAGAATGTGTAACTAATTATTCCAAGGATGCCATACAGTCTCATAATATTGAGCACTAAATCAAATTTGAATAGCATGTGATTATTTTAAAGGAAACTTTCCAGAGAATTAAAATGTCCCCTTGCTTTCTACTAAGTAAAGATACTGATTTAGTCAGACATTTCTTATTTAAATGTAATCTCCTTTCTCTTTCACCTTTGTGAGAGACTGAAATGTTAATGGTTAAAGGCTCAAGCAATTGGCCATTTGCAAAAGCAGTGGGTGTTTGGCTGACAATGTGCAAGGTAACAGCCCAGGTGCAGTGGGTGTGAGCACCAGAGGATGACCACCACAAATCAACCTTTGTTTAGCAAGAAGTGGGGATTTGAGCCAGGTAAGGGAAGAGGCTGATAAGTAGAAAATTTCATAGTTGATATATTTAATAAATAGACAGTTGTTTATTTGTTGTGGGTATTTTTGGCATTTAATTGTATGTGTAATTATTTGCAGAACAAATTAGCAATGTCCCAGTTATGCCTTAAGGCAGAATTTCAAAAGACACCAGTACCCAAACTGAGGCCAAATTTTCAAAACAGCTGTGTTCTCACATAGATGCAGATAAATTGTGGGAACATGCAACAACAAAAAGAGGGAAATGAAGAGTAAAAGGAAGCAAAGGAAAAGGAAAAAGGAAGAAAGCACATCAGATTCAAACAAAAGGTACAGAAATATTATTTGATGAAAGCAATCTAAAAATTATTTTGCATCAATATATTTAAAAATTTTTGTTTAAAGCAAAAGTTGTAAGGGAAGTTGAACTTACTTTACTCTTTTCCCAACATTTAAAATATCAGCCTTCAAACACATTAAAATTAGCGTCAGTTGAAACAGATATAAAAATCTAAGTGCAAATACATGTGCAGAGATGAAAAAGAATTTTAATGTAGATCTTTAGCACTGAATCTTATCCATTTAGGTCTTAGATTTCATATGTGGTCAAAAAAGTCAGTATATTTGCTAGGGAAAACTTGCATATGAAGAGAGAGCATAGTATTTTTGCAACTTTTGAATGTAGTAACTAGATTTGGAGTCCTTGAAATATTCACACTTCAAGAATTTAGTTGTCAATAGAGGAAGTTTTAAAAATGTTAGTAAATATATTGAAAGAAACTTCATCGTGGTGCATGAAAACATTTGGGATCAATTTGTAAAGTCCTAAAGCACTCTTTGTCTCAGTTAGGAAGGTGAGCTAAAAGAAAAATATTTAATTAAAGATTATACTAGTAAAAGAGAAAGTCATCTGACTGAAAATTAAATATTTATTTAATTATAACTCTGCTTATCAGACTAGTCCTTACAGTTTTGACTACTACATTGGAATTTGCTAATATGCTTTCTTACTAAAGTGATTCCATCAGCATCAATGAGTTCAAACTTGTTTATAAAATATAAGCAATTATTTTTATGAATTTCAATCTTTGTATTCCATTCAAGTCCTTGATCTTGAAAAGATTAACCAGGCTACACATTACTCCTTCACAGATGCAAATGTAAGACATCTTGGAATATTATTTGGCTTAAAAATCTGTTGGTAGAGAGATGGTGCAGCTGTTGATGATTGATAAACAAATTAACATTTCCCAAGTTAGTCCAGAAAATCTATTAGATCTAATGATTAAAGAAACTGTATACTAATAGCTGACATAGTGATGAAGGCTCTTCCAAAATACTAAGAAAATTCCTGCAAAATTTTCTATACAATTATTTTAATCTTGACTGAATTAAGGCATTTTATAAGAGAAATCTGTCTTAGTCATGTGGCATCACTTGCTTTATTCAGGCTAGTCATTGTGTCCAGCATTAGCACAAATTATATAATGCAGAATTCCAGAGAAGGGACTATCCTATTGCTGTCCCATACAGACACACTGATACCTGTTTGGGTTTGTACTACTGGACTACGGTGCAGGATGGTGACATTGTTGTAATATTGGCAGAGTGAGAGAAAAATATTTACTTCCCAGTCTCATCAATAATGTAACAGAGGGATGAGACAACTGATATCCCAGTGTGTTTTAGCTGTCAGACACTCAAAATGATTGATGGTAAATAAGAAGTAGGGTACCACGATATCACCAATTAGTCTGCAAAATCCAGTGCAGAACTTGGAAACTGGTGAAAAGAAGGCTCAGGTTTCCTGTTAAGGTAGAACTTAAACTCATACTTTTGTCTGGTTTCCTTACATTGGGAATTTATACACTAAATGAGACTGAAAACAATTGATCTAGATGTACTTTCCACTATTATTCATTTCTTTTAGACATATTAGGTGGGAATCAATTTGTCTGACTTTAGATTTCTAAAAACACCATAGACATTTTATCAGGCAAGGCTCAGCTGAGAGAAAAAAACCCCAAATATGTTTGCGGAGCACCTCATCTGTTTTAAACTTTGAGATTATTGATACATAGAAAGTGCTTATTTTTCTCCAGTGGTTGCAAAAGGGAATGAGTTCAGATGTATACACCTTCATTTTAGACATATGCATTTGATAGGATGAATTCCACTCTTCCTGTTATTTATAAAGAAGGATAAAACAGTAGCAAAATCCTCCTCTTGTTTCACTGATGAGCATGCATGAGGCACTGTGCCATTAAGTAATTAGTCCTCTAGTAAAATCAAACCCTGACATTAGCTTTCTGTGTAAATGAAGCTTCAGTAAAGAGGATGGGTTACTGCAGTTGCACTAATGCACTGAAAAGTGACACTAAAAACATGCCACACTAGAGCAAGGACCTGGCTTTGGCTAAATTAGAGAAAATGTATTATCTGTGAAGACTTTTTTGGAAATGGTCTTCTCTGGCCATGTTTTTCTTCTACAGAGAGTTGTGCAAGAAATTTTTCATCCACATAGCCATCTGGTACAGGTGGGAAGAACATAATTTTTCTTTACTGGCATGGAATCCCAGGTCATTTTCAGTGTTATTCAGCCTCCTGAGTCTTTCTCTCTGCTCAAAATAACAAAACATTACAGTCTTCTGATTTTTTTTTTTCATTATTGATTTCATTACTGACAATATTAAACATAAGGATTATGTCAGATAAAATTTCTGTATATTCTGTGTTCTGGATGATGTTGTTCAAAAACCTATCCAGCCTGCTCTGGAATTGGCAGTCGAGGTCAGAAAATAAACACACTGAGTTTCTTATGTGCTGCTGTTCTGGCCATGGTTTCACATTTGGGAGAATTTAGTAGCTCTTGGTGCAAGCCAGAGAGTAGCCCAGAGTCATTTGCAAACTGTTCACAAGGCTGTATCTCCAGAACAGAACTGACATCTGTTTTATTTCCAAAATCCAATTGTAATCATTACACGGGTTCAGAAATGACAGACGAATCAGTGAAATAGGAATCACCTAAGGTCATTTTCAGCCTGGAGAAGAGAAGGCTCTGGGAAGACCTTCCAGGACCTGAAGATGACCACCGGAAGACTGGAGAGGGACTTAAGTGATGTAATGGTCCTATAAGGGGTAATTTTCTTCTTTACACTGAGTTGGTTTATAACAGATATTAGGAAGAAATTAATATGATAATTGAGTGCTCTTTGCTGGGATAGGAACTGGCTGGATGGCTGGGCCCAGACAGTGGTGGTGAACAGTGCTGCATCCAGCTGGTGGCCAGTCACTAGGGGTGTCCCCCAGGGGTCTGTGCTGGGGTAGTTCTGTTCAATATTTCTATTGATGACATGGATTTTTGGGGTTATATTGAGGCAAGGACAACTGAGAGAAGTTATAAAAGATGGTCTATTGTATAATTAGTCTCATGGAAGGGTGAAACATTTAAGGTGTTACATTCAACATCACATCAGAAGTCGTCCTAATTCTAGTTACAATGTCTTTTATAAATTTCTTAGCCAATCACCTACTTCCACAAAGCTCACTAATAACTTTTTACCAATCATTGACTGTTTCACATTACATGACTCTACCACAATGCATCTTTTCTTATCCAATCATTGCTATATCTTAAGCTTCCTACTAACTCTATAACAGATTCTATTGTTCAAGTTTTTTGCTATCTTGCTCAACATATTTTTTGCTTACATAAAGGATATTTCTACTTGCTTAAAATATATTTCTGCTTAAACCATAAATCCACATTCTTGCTTCATGTCTGTGTAATTTTATTGTTCCCAATCTTCAAGCCTTTTCCAAGGTCTTAGGTCAAACTTTGTATCCGTCTCTATCTTTGAGCCTGTACACACAAGACTCTGGGAGCTTTCTGTGCCTCTATTTCCCACAATGGATGAGGGTATTGAGTAATACCCTCAATACCCTCATCCATTAGCAGGTAATTAGTAAATTAGCAGGGGACACTAAGCTGGGAGCGTGTGTCAATCTGTTGGAAGGAAGGAAGGAGGGTTCGCCAGAGAGACTTGGAACATTTGGATGGATGGGCAGAGTCCAATGGGATGAAGTTTAGTAGGTCCAAGTGATGAATCCTGCATTTTAGCCACAGAGATCCCCAGCAACGTTATAGTCTGGGGATGGTGTGGCTGGACAGGGCCCAGGCAGAAAGGGACCTGGGGGTACTGGTGACAGCAGCTGAACAAGAGACAGCAGTGTGCCCTGGGGGCCAAGAAGGCTCCTGGCCTGGATCAGGAATAGTGTGGCCAGCAGGAGCAGGGAGCTCATTGTCCCCCTGTACCAGGCACTGGTGAGGGCACACCTGGAGTGCTGTGTCCAGTTCTGGGCCCCTCAGTTTGGGAAGGACATTGGGACTCTTGAGTGTGTCCAGAGGAGGCAACGAGGCTGGTGAGGGGCCTGGAACACAAGTCTGGCTGTTGGTGTTGTATGGCTGTTCAGCCTGGAGAAAAGGAGACTCAGAGGTGACCTTATCACCCTCTACAACTCTCTGAAAGGTGGCTGTAGGCAGGTGAGGGCTGGTCTCTTTCTCCAGACAGCAACTGACAGAGTGAGAGGACACAGACTTAAGCTGCATCAAGGGAAATATAGGTTGGATATTAGGAAATAGTTTTTTTGTGTAAAGAATAATAAAGTACTGGAATGGTCTGCCTGGAGAGGTGGTGGAGTCACCATCCCTGGATGTGTTTAAAAAAAGACTGGATGCAGAACTTGGTGCCATAGTCTAGTGGTGTTAGGGCATGGGTTGGACTCAATGATCTTGAAGGTCTCTTCCAACCTAGTGATTCTGTTGAAATTCTGTTGAAATGATGGTGGTGATGTTCTAGTGAACACTGGAACAGAGAAGCTGTGCATGCTGCACCACTGAAAGTGTTCAAGGACAGGATAGGGCTCTTAGCAACCTGATCTAGTGGCAGGTATCCCTACCCATTAGGTGAGGGCTGGATCTCGAGGGTCCCTTCCAACCCAAACTATTCTGTCATTTTATGATTAGCCAAAGAAAGTAACTATGCTAAGTATTGAAATTTCCTCAACTTTCTGGAAGAGTATTCTGGGACAGTAGCAGCACGTGACTGTGCTATCCTTGCAGGGACTACGGTATGGTTTGTGTCAAAAATTAGGTAAAATGGGGGATGAGTTGTGGATACCTAGATCCTTGGCAATCCACAGTGTCCCAGAGAGCACTGAAAGTCTTTTTCAGTGATCACCTCCACTGGGACTACACAACAGCAGATTATGGTTGGTTGTACTGATCCTGTGACATGCAAAAGGAGTATCTCAGGGACATGCATAAAAAAAAATAAATTCTCAGCAAGTTGTTCTTGGCCTGTCTTATTCATATCAGAGGCATGGCAACTGAACACCAGAATTAGGCTTGCTGTTTTTAAAATTACTATAAATAAAAGCTAAATACTGTCAATTTCTGTTGTAAACAAGTAACTCTGGACTTTAAAGACAAAAGCCCAGCCATCTATTAAATGTCTATGTTCCTATCAATTTCAAGTCATGCTGTTAAGTCACAGTATTTGATTAAGTGTTCTGAGTTAATTAGAAGTGATGGGAAAGACATATCTTTTTTATTTTTTTCCTCCAACAGTGTCATTCTCTCAGCCAACCAAATTCTAAACCGTTGACCATGTTATTCAACCTCCTACAACCTGTCATTCAACTTGAAGAAATGCCATTTTTTCCCAACAATAACTCAAGATTCTTGGACATATGGTGTCTCCTTCTGTAATTGCATTTGATCTTGATAAAAGCCAAACCATTAAAGAATTTTTTTTTTTTTTAGGAAAAAAATAGCCCCAAAGAAATATAGTATTTGTTTGAATGATACACAAGTATCATCAGGTTATCAATGACTTAAATATTTGAGAAAATATGGTGTCAGGTGGAGCTGAAGATTTTCAGCTTACTCTTCTGATTTAAAAAAAGTGCTAGTGTTTTTTTCCCTTTTCCTAGAGTACGCTGAAATTCATTGGCTCTAAAGACGTTTGTTTTAGGACTCAATGGATTTTTTTTTCCTCATAAATTGGTCTAGAACAGAGTGTTGCTTTCACCTTGAAAACAAAGTGTCCAGTTGCTATGTTTTCCTGATGATGTGATCTGAATCACACAGATACATCAAATTTCATTTTCAACTACAAATATTCTTCATAATATCTCTGTAAAATGCCTTGTGTAGATGATTTCAAAACGAGTGTATCTTGTCTGGCTGAGATGGAGTTAATTTTCCCCACAGTAGCCCTCACAGTGCTGTGTTTGGTATTGGTAGCTAGAAAGATGTTGATGACACACCAGGGTTTTAGCTACTGCTGGGAAGTGCTGGCACAGCATCAGCAATGTCTCTCCAACATTCTGCCCCCACTCCCTGAACAGGCTGGGGGTGGGCAAAACCTGGGGAGGGGACACAGCTGGGACCACTGTCCTCAACTGAGCAAGGGGATTTTCCATAACATATGCTCTCTGCTCAAATAAAAAAGTTAAGGAAAGGGAGTTGTAAGTGGAGAACATTTGTTCTTTGCAACATTTGCCTGCTTGAGCAACTGCTGCACATATGAAAGTCCAGCTTCCTAGGAAGTACCCAGACATTGCTTGCTGATGGGAAAGTAGAGAATAAAATATTTTTTTTCCTCCTTTTTTTGTGCCCACAACCTTTCACTTTTGGTTTAGTAAACTGCCTTATCATGACCTATGCATTGTTTTCTGTCTTATTTCATCTCCCCTTTCCAGCTGAGAAGTGATGGTGCAGCTTGTTGGGCAGCCGGTGCTCAGCCAAGGTCAACCCACCTCAATGAGTCACAGGACTTTTAAAACAAAAACATATACTGCTGGCATGTCTTGGTGATACTATAAAGACAAATACTGTGTGTTCACCTGTTTTGACTTTGCATACTAGTTCTCACTTATGTCTTTAATTTTTTGGTGCAGGACTCATTTGAATCATTAGGTAGCACTAGTGTGACAGTGTTCATGGCTTCTGAAGGATTTGTTGGTCAGTTAAAAATTACACCCCCATATGGGATTCTTCTGGATGATCGATGTCACAACATTTCTGCTTGTAGTGTTAAAAAACCATCCGAAGACAATGTTCTGCCTGTCCTCAATTAATCTTTAAATCCTTCAGTGGGGTTGACCTAAATTACAAAGTCACTTGCTTGCTGTGTGGATGTGATATCCCATGGCTATAACAATACAATTGTTAATCTTAAAAGTGAAATTTATGTTCAGAAAACCAGCAATGGGTCCATGATTTTAGAACTCACTTCCATGATAGATCAGAATGACCTTAAACTTCACCATTACTGTTAAATGTTGTGCCCACTTTTTAACCTAACTTTATAATAAGAATGTCATAAAAATCATCCTATAAATCACTTCTCTGATGTAGGAAAAGCTTCATATATTTTTCTCTATATGTTTATTATTCAAAGTATGATTTTATGATATGAAATGAATTTTGGCCCAAGAAGTTTGCATTTTGGCCAGCAGAAATTTTTTTTATGTCATTAAACTGAATGCAGCAAAGTACTGATGGAAAATCGGGGTAGGTCTGTGAAGGAATGCTCTAGTGTCCCTCAATCCTTTGAGAAGGCTAAGGAGGAGACCTGGAGAGTCCACAGAGTGCTTTAATCATTCTACCTGGCATCTTTTATTGGAGTCAAGGTGTTTCATAAAAACAGAGCAGAGGCTGCTGTATGTCTTCCTGAAGCCAAAGGACAGATCCTAAAATAGCAAATTCTTCCCCTGAAATGAGGCCAGGAGTGTTATGAAAATGCATCATTTTTCACTGGCACAAAAATCTTGTTTCAGGGTGAGAGGTTACAGAAGATGTCTCAGTCTTGTACCTTAAAGATTCAGCCTTCGGGATATCGATGGGAAGCCTCAGGTGGGAGGCTGAGCGAGGCCAGCAGGCAAAGGCAGCTGGGTGTGAGCCTGCAGTGGCTGCTGCCATGCCAGGACAGAAGCTGAGGAAGCTTGCCAAAGAAGGAGGTGCAGCTCCTCAAAGAAGACCTTCCCCAGCTTGGCATCTGTGGCCTTCCCTTTTCAGAAGAGAAAAATGAGTACTGTTTTATGATGGTTTGGAGTTTTTGGGACTCATTCTTTTAGATCCATCTGGGGAATTCTTCGGCAAGTGTCAGGGAGCCAGCTGATGCTCTGTTAGTCAGATGGAGAATAGCTCCTGAGAAGGACAGTGGATGTTACTTGGCTGCTTCTCAAAACCTCTGGGAAAAGCAGATTCAGCCAGCAGAAAAAGAAAGGACTGAGGATTTAAGGGAGCAGTTTCTCTATTGTCATGTAATGCTGAATTGCCAGAATAAAACTTGATTTTCATCATATTTTACAATGCACTGATTGTATAGAATCTATCAGTGCGACAGTAAGTTATGCCTTCACCATGATTATAGCACATCTTGTATAAGTGACTAAATGAGAGGCTAAAATTGCTGTGGCATAGGGATTTATATTACAATAGACATTTTTGCATAATGCTATGGTGATGCTTCAGCTTTCCCTGACATCCACATCTTTAGAACCTCCTGTCAAAGGATTCTGAATAAATACTTCCACTAGAGGAGGATCGCACTGACAAAAAGGGAGTAAAAGAGACGCAAAAATAGACAAGCCTTTTGCTCCTACAAGCTAAAATAGGTAAAAATACGTAAAAGAAATCTGGGAGAACCATCTTAGTGCCATTAAATTTTAGAATTTTTGTATACAAGAGAAAAAAAAGAGAAAGAAGAAAGATTAGAAGTCTGAATTTTCAATGTTGGAGTGCAAGTTACTCTTTGTTTTCAAACCAGCAAAGCACCTGATTACTTAAAATTCGTGCATTTAAAGTCAATCCTTCTCCAAACAGTTACCAATAGAAAATACAGTTTTCTTTTCTTCTCTGGAAGAATAGTCTGACACATGAAAATTTGTAAATATTTACCAGACTTCTTGAAATATATCTAAAATACCCACTATTGAGTAATAGAGCAGTAGTTAACATTTAGATGCAATTAAGAAGATGAGAGCTTTGTCATGATAATTAATCCAGCACTTTGCAATACGGGAAGGGGGAAGGGAAGGGAAGGGAAGGGAAGGGAAGGGAAGGGAAGGGAAGGGAAATCTTGTCCTGGAATAAGTCCTGTGGTGACTTGTCTTTGCGGAGCTTGTAATCAACTGGCAGGTGTATTGTGGTTTGCAATAGGCACCCCATTTCTATTCTATGGCAATTTTAACATAATTTAGTATAAATTGACTAGAAAGTAAGAAACAGAGAAGTTTTTAGACTGGTGATTGGGGGACTCACCTGAGAGGAAGTATTCCTGGATTTCGGACACTACTGAATGCAGGTTTACCAAAAATGGGTGCATTAAATTGGGGCAAATAATCAGCATAGTGTCTGCTCTCCTCTGGAAAAAGGGAATAGGAGCTGATGGTGTACTAGAGGATGTTAGCCACGTATGTAAGCAACAGAAAGTAGACATTGCTTTCATCTTTTGGGGATTAACAGAGACATTCCTCAGATCTCTTTCTTTGACTTTGTACTGAAATGAGGAGTGTGTACAGTGAATCCAAGCTCCATCCATATAGGGAGCAGCGGTCACTTGAGCATAGCTGATCAACTACTTCAAAGCATTACAGCATGTCTTTCCTCCTGAAAGTTGGCTATTGACAATAGTAATAGCTGGCAGGATCTGAATGTTCAGAATCACTGGCACCTCACCAAGAAACAGAAAGACTGCTAGAGTGGATTTGGATGTACTGTAAATGAAGCAGGATATATCATGCTTTAAAGTCAAGGACAACTGTTCTTTCTGCAGAGGGGCTAGATGAGGCAAGAAGGATTTATACAATCACATGAAATTATAAACATTCAGAGCTAATAAGAAAAGAAGCCCAGAAGCAATGAAATTTGAGATTAGCCAGGCAGCAATTATCCCAGTAATAATATGGTATATGTTTCTTCTTTACTGCTCTTGTGTGGATTACAAATGGTTTCTGAAGCAGAGCTGGATAAGCCTGGGAATATTGTACTTATACTCAGTTTAGGAGCCAGCAGGAAAATCTACAGGGACTTCAAATCTCACTGAGGTCCTTGCTCAGCCTTATAGACAGGAAACAATAGCAACAAAACATTAAAAGATTAAGAAGGAAGAAATAAAAGCCGAGGAAAAAAACTTGCTGGATTTTCCCTGTTGAGCTTGAATATTAAGTGGACCAGATCCTTCACTTCTGTGTCCATACTCTAATGACCTAACAGCCTGCTTCTTCTGCATTGTCTTTTACTGTATTTATATAATTACTTAAAGAAAATAAACCTCCGAAAACTGACTTCATCTCCTTCAACAGTATATTCACCAGAATGGTCTCTTACTGTCTTCCCTTAAGCTTTTCCTTTGCTTTATCATCTAAGTGCTATAATGTTCACTGCAATCTAGGTACCATGTCAATTTATTTTTGTCCTGTCTGTCCTTACCGATGTAGGGATGATTCCTATCTCATTTAGTTTTCCTATTGCCAAAAACCAATTTATCTTCCCTCCAGGCTAGAATAAAAGAAATAATTTCATTGATCAACCTTGGAAAATCTTAAACATGTCACGTGAAAAGGAGATTTGTTCAGGTCACAATATTTGACTTCTCTGTCAGTGTCCCAAGTAAGCCAAGACCCTTGTGCTTACCAAGTCTGTCACTGTCCTGCTATGGAGACCTTTCACTGAACAGTCTTGCTGGATTGGAGGATGATTTAATTAGGGAAACACAGCGTGAGAGACATCAGCAGGTCTTCCCACTTTATGACCCCTCAGTGGGCTTTATTTGAGTTACCCGCTGCCGGCTACAGGCAGCACCTGTGAAAGACTTGTGCTAACACTCTACAGAATAACACTCTTCATTAATATAAAATTGTCAAAGGTTAAGGTTTGAGAACTGTTGGTGATGGTATCTGACTGCAAAAGCACATTCAAACAATACACAGACAAGTTCTATTCCCCAAACATATTTAGCATGTGCAGGGCGATTCTTACTCAACAGGTGTCTGTCCCTATGGGGAAGAAAATAGGTTTAGCCTGTTGACTGATCCCAGTAGTTACAATGGAGTCTTCCCTAACTTTCTCCCATTTTCAACTTACTTTTATATTAATTCTTTATCTTTAGCTGGAGCTTGAGTGACTCTAGTTATACATACCTTTGTTGCTGGTTGATGTAAAATTCTCTCAGTTTGCTCTTTAAGATACAGTCAATAAAATATGAAGCACTTGCTTTTTGAGGGGTAGTCATACCTTGGAGGTGGTTAACAGTAATGAAGTTAAGTTTATCTGAGGAGAGTTATTTTTTCATATTTGTTGGTTCAGCAGCAAGACATCTTCTCCTATCTCTCCTGGTTGACAGATGCCATGGAGTTTATCAGCTGCAAAGTGCCATCTAGTTCCACTCCCTGAGCCTGGCCATGGTGCTTCTACTCTGCTCCAACCTCAATTCCATCCTCCTTAGCAGTGGCTTGTAGTTGCACATTGAGTGTCTGGGGAATCATCATAGAATAGGTTCCAAGCATGACAACCACATTCCATCTGAGGAGTAGCATATGTATTTTACCCTATAATTTCAATGTTGTTATAACTTCTGTTAGGACGTGAATATAACTTCTTAGTTTCCTCTAATTTTACCCTCAACCATTTTTCCATAACATGTAAAAAGGCAAAAATATTTGGTTTGGAAAATTCTAATCCCAGCATTGACCAATCCAAAAGTTTTAATCTAAATGTCATCATATTACACTCAAAATGCACCTTTTATTTTTCTAATTAAAACTGTAAATCTAAGAAATATTTCATTTTCTTTTCTGCCTGTAAGCTTTGGAGTTTAAAGGCTGTGGAATTTTGAAGAGGTGTGCATTTGGCTGCAAATATTTTGACAATTTTCTGGTATCGTGCCTGGGAGAAATCACAGCATCTAAATCTGTAATCAATGAAAAGTGCTGAAAGCACAAAAAAAAAGTGCAAAAGTCAACAGATGCCGAATACAGATGGAAAGGAATTGGCACACTGCCTAACACCTCGTACCTATTATTGAGTAGCTATTTTGTCTTTATTTCCTTGTTTTCCTCTTAACAAGATTGTTCTTCCAGCTTTGTAAATCACGTATAACCACAGGTTGCGTGGCATTAAGCACCCTCACGAGGCTTTAGTGCTGAGCCACTTGCCCGGGGCTCAGGGAGGGAGCAGTGCCCACCTGAGGGCTGTGCCAGGAGTCCCCTGTGCTGCCACAGGACATCCCACAAGGGTTGAGGTGCTGCCACAGCCCGTGCTGGTTTGTCTGATGCTGCATTTCACTGCTTAGCATATCAGCATAGCCAGACACAATTTTCAGCAATGCACTGATTCACCAGCCTACAAGGAGTGGTAAATGAGGACTCCGAGGTTTGGATATGAGCTGTTGTAATGAATGAGATTATCACCAGTGGAGCCAAAATGGGGAAATATGTCTCTCTTCTCTTACTTAAATATATGTGAGTAATACTTTTCAGCCCTTTAGAGAGGGCTTATTCTTTGCCACTTGGACTCAAAAATTAGTTGATTTGTCAGTATTTATTAAATCCACAAAGAAGGGGCTGTCTAGAAATCTTAACAGCAATAAGGGGCTGAGTGAGGGCTTCAAGTTTCTTCCCAGGAGCCATAATAATAATCTGCTCTCTCTTCTAAAGCCTTTCTTAGGAACTTTATAGAACCATGAGTGTCAGCTTATCTTAAATATTGGATCCTACCTGAACAAGACCTAGCCCCAGTCTCTAAAAATGGTTATCAGGAATGTGTCAGGTTTGCTTTAAAATACCAACAATAAAAAGATTCATAATATAAAAACAAGCTTTTGTGTCTCTTAATTCCATCATTAAAGGTACTTCAACTTTCACATATTGAAATTTAAAACTGTGAGAGAAAAAACTTCACAACGGTATTTAACCTAAAAGCAAAAATAAAAATGAGGAGGGCATTGAAGAACAATACCCCTTACACTCAAACAAGCATTTGGGATGCAGCTGTCTATATTTTACAGTGAGGTCACTCCAGTCGTGGCTGTTTACTTTTTCTTGCATGTTTTGTAAATTATTAAATGTAGAATGGTTTCAGATGTTCTGTGACGGCTTTTACTTTGTTTTTCACCCTAATAGACAGGCTTATAAGTTCCAATATCTGTTTTTCTGTCTCTAAAACAGTGTTTCTAGAAGAAAAAAAAAAAAAAGAAATAAGGTTCATAAAGTTAGCTCTGAAATCTCATTGCCAGTGTCAGTTATAATAAAAATGTCTCCATTACTCCCCGAAACCAGAACAGGGAAGAGGCTCTCAAGCAATTGAATTATATTGACATAAGAAGCCACTGAAAGCTGCAACTAATTAGCTTAGTGGTATTGCTGTAATGCATTACAGTGCTCTCCCATAATTTAGACAGCTTTGGGTCTTTAAAGATACAAGGACATTTGCTATTTTGTTTCTTGTAGATTTGAAGTCAATGGGATGACCACTGACTTACTGAAAACAGCATTTTGCCAATGCTGATGCTTTTGAAAATTTCATCTTTAAAGCTCTGTGGAAATAATTGGGTAAGCATGCTGGCATGGACTGGGGAAGGAAACCAAATTGTTTTTTAACACCATCTAATGCATCTAATGGGCTGTAATGGACAAGACTTAATTAGAATCTCTAAGGAATTGCTGACCAGAACAAAATGGACCACTTTACTTTTAAGAAAACAGGTATTAATAGAAAAATAAATGCCAACAAAATCCAGCCAGAGTCAATAACTCTCAGCACAGGCCTCTGGGTACTAAAAAAACTCTAAACTTCTAAAAGGAAAGTGTTTGTTGCACAATGTCACCTTTCTGCCAACAAACAGTATTGAACTGGGATGAAACATGATTTATAGGCTCTATGGACACCACTCTATATTTTCATGTAGTAAAGCTGTTATGATCAGTGGCTGCAACATAAGAATGCCTAGGAGTAGGGTCAAGATGCTTATTTTGCTTTGCAGTTGGACTGTATCCTTGAAATATTTCAGAAAGTCTGAATATTCATTTCTGTTGGGAGAAGCTAAGGACCTGGTAGAGCAAATTTTTCTAATATTTGGTCCAAAGCAAAATGGGAACTCGAAAATCACAGAATTGTAGCATTTAATATTTTTTAATTGGTGTCTTGATTTGCCTGAATGGTTCTGTAAAGTAGTTAGAGATAATAAACGTTTTATTTAAGCAGTTTTATTTTCCTCTAAAATCGACAGTAACTTAAGCACAAGATGATGCACAAAATAAAAAATTCCTTTCTGAAAATGTTATACTATGCCATTTACCAAATCAAGCACTTCCAGTTCTCATGAGCCGTAGAATAAAATATTCTGTGGTTTAGGCAAAAAAGCATCTATCTTATTATGGATATGTCATTTTCTATAAAATTGTATTTCATCTAGTACCTGAATATGGCTAGGTGATTTCAAATGTTTGGCTTGACAATAAAAAAAACCCTTCATCTTACATTTTACTGTCTGTTTACATTTTAATTTATACCATATAAATATGGTTTCTCTTGTTGGGAAGTATTCCTATTTAACTAAATTAGCAAATAACCTGAGCAACAAGGAATACAATAATTGTTTCTCCCTTGGATTTCTCACTGTGCTTCCAGCCACTCAGTCTTACTTGTTCTTGGCAATTCTTCAATCACCCAGCTTTATTTCAAAGATACCCAACATGCAGCCCTTTCCACCTCATGTCTTGCTCCAGCATATCCCTAGTTTACATTTCTTCTTTCCACTTATGGAGGATATTACACATTTCCAATTGTAAATAAATACCAAACTGAATGAAAAAAATGTTCATATATCAGTGAAAATTGAGACAATCCAGCTGGAATGTGATCTACATAATCTCTAACTTTTTATATTTTGTGAAGTTAGAAGGTTTCCCATTGTAATACAACAACACATAATATCTTTGATGTTTTTGTACCTTCAGTAGGGCTACTTACAATAGAATCATTTTTGACTGGGATCTACAAAGTCTGACTATCATAAGTACCTGCACAGTCCTGACACAGACATTGCTGTGCATGTCTTTGTCTCTTATTCCAGCAGGTGCACAGAAGAATTATCAAGGAATCAGAGGATGACTTGGGTTGAAAGGGAAGGGATATTAAAGATCATCTAGTTCCAACCCCCTGCCATGAGCAGGACTACCTTCCACTAGACCAGGCTGCTCACAGACCTATCCAACCAGGACTTGTACACTGCCATGGTTGGGACATCCACAGCTTCTTTAGGCAACCTGTTCCAGTCCTCGCAATAAATAATAATAACAATAATAAAAATAATAGGATAATAATAATAGTAGTAATAATACGAATAATAATAATAGCAGTAATAATAACAATAATAACAATAATAACAACAACAACAGTCAACCATCAGCTTAATATCCAATCTGAACTTTTCCTATTTCAGTTTAAAGTCATTCCTCCCTTGTCCTATCACTACATGTCCTCATAAAAAGCCCCTCTCCAACTCTCCCTTCCCCTCTGGATACTGGAAGCTGCTTTAAGGTCTCCCTCCAGTCTGGGTGTGGAATTCTCTTTGAACAGGTTTGAAGAAGGAGTTTCATGAACAGGCCTTGCAGAGTAGTCTTTCCCTGGTCACTTTTGTAAAGTAGTAATAATAATAATAATAATAATAATAATAATAATAATAGTAATTACACACTTTCTTCTGAATTAAAAACTTTCATGTTATTACTAATTTCATGAATTCTCATCCTTTTCTACATTGGTAAATGTAGTCAGTCTCATTTAAGTGCTCTGTGTGTTCTCACCTACTTTATAGTAAGACCAAAATTAGCAAACTCAAAGGAAAAGTCTACTTTTCAAAATTTTATTGAAATTTATTTTCTGGAATCTCAAAAAAATAGTACTTTTCAATATAAATGTTTATGCCAAAAACTGAACCACATCTTTTTTTTTTTCTGTCTCTTCTCTAATTTTTTTTTTCTTTTTAAATGATTAGTGGCTTGCAGTGGTTGACACCACCATTTGGGTTGATGGTAATAAATGATATTATGTCATCATTCTGACAAGACATTTAATATCTCTTCTTGCTAATCATCTTTCACTTTTGAAATATTTCATTACAGTGTTTTTCATACATGTTATCAGTTTTTTTCACCAAATAAGAGACAATACTTAATCATTTTCCCATGACCTAGAAAGAAGGCAGCATTTTCATTTCTTATTTTAGTATAAAATGTGCAATGTAACTCATAGAATCAATAGCAATGTTCAATACATGAATCAAAAATCAAGTTGTTGTTCTTAAGAGAACAAATCCCCGAAAGCTACGTACTCAGACCCTCAAGAGTATTTACTGAGAAAATACATTGCAAAATGCATTCTATTAAGGGCAAGGCATTTCAAGTGAGCTGCATATTGATCCTAGAAGAATGAATTTTGTTCTAAATGG